CCTTAAATATTTTATAAATAATGGGGCAATACCGACACCTGTCGACATTGCCCCGTGGTAGTGGTGTGTCGGCGTTACCCCGGCGTAACCCTACAAGTTACTGCTAGCTCCAAATTCTAAAACAGCTATGTTGGTTTTAATATGTATTTTCTAGCTAACTAAGTTGTTTTTTAGTAATACTAACAATTAGAATCTTACCTCAGTTCATCCAGGAGTCAGTTTTAAACATGAAAAACTTCAAAAACTAGTTATTTATTTATAGCAAAACATGCAGTAGGCGTACTCGCATAAAACTCAGTTTTAGTGTTGTCCACCAGGTAGCAGCACTATACAACAGCGCTTTACTCATAAAATACAATTATAGAGAAAGCTAAATATTAATAAATATATATAATTTTTTTTTCAAAAATAACATTTTATAATTGGACTAAAAAGCAAAGAATAAGTTTCTTTTCGAGACCCAAGGACTTTGGCGCTACCCAGAAATTAGCTGCCGAAAGGCGCAATTTATGAACCCAGCAAGGGCACAAAAAATAAATCCGTTTAATGTTAAGGAATATTTCACCTAATTATAAAAATTAATGGTATTGCATGGCTTTTTTAATACTTCAGAAAGACTCTACAACATGGATGAAAAAGGAGTCAGACTTACAGTTCATCACCAGCAAGTTGTTTTAGCACAACGGGGAGCGAAGAGAGTTTATCTTGTTGCTCATGAACATGCGGAAAATGTGACTGTAATTGGCTGTGTCAATGCTATGGGGTGTGCTTTACCTCCAATGGTGCTTTGTAAAGGTATTTGGCTGAAGATTGAATTCAGTGACGATTTGCCTCCTGGTTCAACTGCATTAATGACTCCTGTTAAAAAGAAAAGTATGGCTTTGATCGGCCGCAAAAAAATGTTTTAGCTATGTTGCTAAAGCCCTGATGAAAGAAGACTTTTAATCTTCCACTTCTAAAGCTATTAATAAAAAGAATAAGGGCAAAGGAAAAGCAAATGTAAAGAAAAGTAAGTCTGTAATTGTGGATGTGAATGATTGGTTTTCTTCGTTGTGAAAAAAATAGGTGAAAAAGTATGCGACAATATTTTAAATGTAAAGTATGGTACCATGAGACGTGCATGGGGTATAAATTCTGAAGATGAGGAAGAGTGAGTATGTCCATTCTGTGAAGAATAATGTTTTTCTTTGTAACATTTTTTATTGAATTTTTCAACTTTCTTTGTATAAAAAATTGGTTCTTTTGAAGCATATAAATATCCAAGATTACTTATTATTTAATAAATGTGAGATAAACTATGCATTAAAAGAATGTTTCCTAACTTTTTTTCCAAGCCTTCCCAGGAAACGCAAGCGGTTTTTTGTCTTGAATGACCACACGCGAGTATTTTATTTTAGACAACTTGGTCACGGCCGATTGCAAGTTTTATAATAATCATTGCGGAAAAAGTTTGAAAACAAAAAAAAAGTAACAAAATAAAAAATAAAAAGATATTAAAACAGAAAAAAATAAAAATAATTTAATAACTTAAATAATTTGTGTACTGTTTTTATTTTTGTTTCTTTAGACTGGTTGTTACATTCAGCAACAAAATTAGAAGAGGCGAAGCAAAAAAAAAATATCATAATTTTAAGTCTACAATGAAAAGAATGACTTTCCTTTATTTAACTTTTTTTTTTAAGAGGACAAAAATATAAATTACAATGTGTTAGTAAAATATATTCGTATAATCTTAATGTAACAATAAGGTATGAATTAAGCGATAGCGAAATGCAAAATCTGGAAAAATACCTGTATTCTTTTGTATTACTATTTTGGTATTCTTTTCTGGTAAATTTTAGTTTATGCAAAGCTGCGTACTTTGTTTTCAAGGGGCGAATCAACTTAAATTCATAAGCGAAAAAGTTATAAAAAATAAAACAATAAACTTACGACTATAAAAGTAATAACACTGAGTGTTATAACTTTTATAATGCAGTTAGTGACTAACTGCATTATAAAAGTAAACTGTAAAGTTAACTGCATTATAAAAGTAATAACATATACTTGTAACATTAAAATTATACAAATATATTTTACAAACAGATGACGGAATATATTTTTGCTTTCTTTTTTAAAAAAACAAACAAATATAATATAGGCAAGTCATCCTTTTTAATGTTTAAAACCGTTGTTTTTTTTTTTTTTTTTTTTTTTTTTTTTTTTTTTTTTTTTTTTTTTGCTTGGACTAACTGAATTTTGTTGCCGAAAATGATGAAGAAACAAAAATAAAAACAGTTCATAAATTATTTAAACTCTTGTTATTATTTTTTATTTAATTTCCTATTTTGTTATTTTGCTTTCTTTGTTTTTTAAATTTTTTTCAGCAACGCATATAAAACTTGTAAACGGCCGTGACTTAGTTGTCTAAATTAAAATACTGATGCGTGGACATACAAGACGAGAAACCGCACGCGTTTCCTGGGAAGGCTTGTTTTTCTTTCTTTACTATTTGTATTTTTTACATGGGCTTTATTACCTACCTAGGGAGGTAATAAGGCCCACCTAAGGCATGTTAAAAAAACATGAATAACTTTTGTTATAATTGATTTCTCAATATGCAGATTTTTACATCAAGGAATGATTAATCTTAAGCAGCAATCAAAAATATTTTTCTAAACTTAATTTTTAAGGCCTAGATGACCAAGAGTCTGTTAGGTGGGCTTTAATACCCACAAGTACCTTATATTTGGTTTAAATATATAAATAATGCTTCCTTAGTTTAAAGCATCTTTAAAAAAATTATGAAATAAACAATAAATTTTATTTCAAGTAAAGGTAAAATGCTTATTGAGCTTAATTTAAGAGCAATCTAACTGCTTTTTTAAAAAAAAAAAATTAAATAACATAATTTATTTTATGTAACAGAACAACTTCTTGCAAAAGCAGAACTTGAAATCATAAACATGATTTGTAATCACTTGATTTAAAACTTGATTATCTTTTGTTTTATTTTTGATTTGAAAATTAGTTACCTCTAATTTATTCGTTTCCTTCAAGGAATCATGCCTAAAATATGCTATTAGTATTGAGTCTAAAAATTTTCTCATGCAAACTTCTTAATAAACTGTTAAATACCATTTAACAAAATTTTTCAATTATATACATTTAAATACATATATTTAATATATCCTATTTATTTTATATATATTAAATACATACAAAATATACGGAATATATTAAACATATACAAAATACATTAAGTATAAATAAAATATATCAGTTATCTATAAAATATCTAAATTAGTAAAGTTTATTTTTGTTCCAAGGACAACTATATAAATCGACTCCTAAAAAAAGGAGTAAAAAAGAATTATGAAAATAAAATATTATTTTTTAGTATATTGATTTTGTTTTGAGGAACTTATTTCTTAACAACTTTTTTAAAGAACTTGTTCATGAAATCTGAAAACTGGTTTTGAAATTTTATATTTACAAAAGTATTACAAGTTTCAAATAACCTAACATTTAGATTAAGCCAAGTTAAAGCTTAATATTTACTTCGTGCAGCCTTATAAACAACTCTTTTTTAAAATTCCTTTATATTCACTTTATGGTAGGAAATTTTTTTAAGTTTCTTTTAAACATTTTATAATTATTTTGAAAATTGCTAAAACAAGTTGTTTTTTTGAATTTTCTATTCAAGCAGCACAATTTATTTAGTCTAATCTTGGACCAACGCGTTTGTTATTTGTTAAGTAACAAAAATATGTTATGCATATGATCAACCTATAATTGGATCAACTTTGTTATTGTACATGTTTAACTAAATTGGGATGAGGATGGTTTGATGTTTGTATTAGGTTGTAATTATTAGGTTGGCATAATCTAACCTGATGGTTGGAGTCGTGTTTCATATAAACAGCTGCTCATCAAACCAATGATAGTGTATATTTTTCAAGGTTGGTGTTTACTTTGGTCTGGTGTTTGGTCTTTGCTAACTTGCTATTGCAGTACTAATACTCCGCAAACCTTACTGTGTTTTTTGCTCACCCAACAAAAAAATCATACGCATATTAAATATTGTTTCACCAACTAATGCATAATGTGTACCCAACTTCAAATTAAAAGTACTTGTACCTTCTAACGTCTAATTTTGATCGACCCAATTGAAAATCGAATACAGATGCGCCAACATAAAAAATGCTGTTGATTCAAAAATACAGATTATTTGGGGTTACATAATTAACATAATTAGCAAAATTGCTTTTGTTCTAATACGTAAAATAAATTTCCAGATTGAAGAAGTTATTAGTATTTCAATTCGAGGTTTAAGAAGTTATTAGAATTTCAATTCGAGATTTAAGAAGTTATTAGAATTTTTATTCGAGATTTAAAAAGTTATTGGAATTTCAATTCGAGATTTAAGAAGTTATTAGAATTTTTATTCGAGATTTAAGAAGTTATTAGAATTTCAATTCGAGATTTAAGAAGTTATGAGAATTTTTATTCGAGATTTTAGAAGTTATTAGAATTTCTATTCGAGATTTAAGAAGTTAGAATTTTTATAAATCATATATAAAAAAAAATTCTATTCGAGGTTTAAGAAGTTATTAGAATTTCAATTCGAGATTTAAGAAGTTATTAGAATTTTTATTCGAGATTTAAGAAGTTATTAGAATTTCAATTCGAGATTTAAGAAGTTATTAGAATTTTTATTCGAGATTTAAGAAGTTATTAGAATTTCAATTCGAGATTTAAGAAGTTATGAGAATTTTTATTCGAGATTTTAGAAGTTATTAGAATTTCTATTCGAGATTTAAGAAGTTAGAATTTCTATAAATCATATATAAAAAAAAATTCTATTCGAGGTTTAAGAAGTTATTAGAATTTCAATAAATTATATGTAAATAAGGAACTAAATAAACGTTTTATTCTGAATTTATCGGTTATAGCTGCCACTCAGTTTATTTAATATGAAAAATTAGGACAGTATTCCAGACGTTTTTAAAATAAATAACCTGCAAGTGATGTCCTGGCCGTGACTCGTGAAAGTTTGTATTGTAATCTTCGTAAGAAGGTCCCATCTCTGCTTTAAAAAACGGTACAAAATAGCTAGCTGGTTCTAAACAATCTGGATCACTTTCCAGATAACTTGGGACACCTAAAATAAATTATTTTTGTTTTTTAAATACAAAAAAATTGTTTATACTAAAAGAACAACCAGCTCGAAAACGAATGATAAAACTGATAATAAAGGTCCTTAAATAAACTATAGTATAATAATATCGTATAATAGTATAATAAATCAACAATAATAATAATAATTAAAAAAAAAACACATACACAAAATGTTTTTAAATTTAAAGTTATTTCAATTTTCATTTATTTGTCCATTATAAAAATAAGTAAAATTATATAGTTATGGGAAACCAAACATAATTTTTTCAAACTAAAGATATTAATGCTAAGAAGCATGTTTTATTAAGTTTAAGTTAAGTTTATACGATATATAAGTTATAGTTTATTATTTTTATGTTATTATTATTTTTTATGTCATTATTATTTTTTATGTTATTATTATTTTTTATGTTATTATTATTTTTTATGTTATTATTACTTTTTACGTTATTATTACTTTTTATGTTATTATTAAAACAACTAAAGATTTTGATTCAGGTTAGTTGAAATCAGAATTAACATTATATAAAGGAAATTAAAAAAAAGGATTAAATATGTAGGAAAAGGTTGCGTAAGATGAGCAGGTTCCTAAAATGGTATAACCTCTTTTACGGGTAGACTACTGATTTTTTTCGAATTTTTTTTACCAATTTTTTTGACGGTGTTATTTATTTTAATTTCATGGTTGTTATAGTTAATATTCTTAAATTGCTTTATTCTTAAAAAAATTTACCATCTCTGTTATAACTTTTTATTATTCAATATTTTTTAATTACGTCAGAACGAAACAAGATCATTAAAAATTTATTACATGCTCAATATTTTAAGCTTATCTACTGTTAATTCCATGGTTTATATGAAATAATACATAAGCTGTAGTCATGCTATTTAAAATTATCAGTTGCTTGAGATAATACGTTTTTAGACGCTCAAGATGAGATGCAACTTTTTATTAAGAAAAGCGCGTTTTTTTAAAAGTTATTCTCCACGGAACTTTATTTTGGTAATTTAAGAGCGAAAGTTTTTTTCAAAAAATAATATTCCAAACTTTTTTAGAGGTAGGAAAGATTTATTATTGTCTTTTTTTATGGTTGAGATAATTATTTTTTACTTAAGTATAGTCCTTAATGATGCAATATGTCTGTGTGTGTGTGTGTGCGTGTGTGTCAGTGGCGGTAGGTATTGTGCGTGTGTGTCAGTGGCGGTTAGTATAGGGCGTGGGGGGAGGGGTAGTGGGCGAGCTGCCCCCCCCCCACGCTCCCGTAGAACGGTCTAACGGCGCCCCCTAAAACAATTTAAAAATATATATATATATATATATATATATATATATATATATATATATATATATATATATATATATATATATATATATATATATATATATATATATATATATATATATATATATATATATATATATATATATATATATATAAGATTAAATTACTGAAAGCAACCCCGGTCGCCCCTATTTATTGACTTGCCCCCCCCCCCCGCGACACTAAACCTCAATCCGCCACTGGTGTGTGTGTGTGTGTGTGTGTGTGTGTGTGTGTGTGTGTGTGTGTGTGTGTGTGTGTGTGTGTGTGTGATTATTTTTCTTTTATTTTGAATTTTTTTGAGTCCCATTACAAAAAGCTCATCTTAGAAAACTGGTTTCCCAAGATGAGATTGGGTGTGTTGAAAATAACATAATTTTTGGTATTAAGATTTTTTTTTTTAATGAACTATTCATTTATATTCTTTAAGTGGAAAGATTAAATTATGATAATCTGTATAAATAAATACAAATATTATAATATTTCGGCTGCAAAAAAGCAATACACAGTTAAATTGCTCTACATACTCAACCTTCCCCTAATTAGAAATAAAAGCATTTCTTCGATATGTCTATTTGAGAGATAATGGAAGCCCGAACATCATGATTTTTTAAAAATGTTTCTAGCATGCACAGTTAAATTTTTGGTTCACGTTATACAAAGCATTACAATACTCAGCGTTGAATTGCCATATGAGCGATCTTCAAATCAACGTTTACATTTTACATGTTTTACTAAGATAGTAAATATGCAGTTCTGTCAACCACATGTCAACAACTGTCAACATAATTTCAATGTTAGTTGAGCATTGGTCAGACATTTCAGCTTATACTTAACAATTATAGGGAGTTTTTTACTTTAATAGCCAAAATAAAATTATTATTAAAAACGCTTTCATTCTAATATTTAAAGAATAATAGTGGTCAAGCTAAAATGTTTTGGCCATAACAAATACCAGTATAATTATTTTATATATATCTTTGTCAAATGTTGTTATATTTATATTTAAACTTAATAGCGTTTTCAGTTTAGTAACAAGGTTACTAAACACACACAAAGTTGTACAATGTTTTAAGTACAATAAGTTGACCATGTATCATAAATTTGTCGCTAATATGCTAACGTAATGATACCGTTTTATTATACCGTATTATTATATAGTATCATTAGACCAATTTTGCCCAAAAATGGATTGAAAAAACTGTATACTTAATGCTGTTGAGCCAGTAACGCAAGATATGATTAATCAAAATACAGTTCTGGTGTAATTGCACCAGAAATTCGGTGCAAAATTTGCAAATGTTATCATCAAAAAGTAAATAAGTTTGACACTATTTGGGAAATAAACAGCCAAATTGCATATAAGAACTAATAATAAAGCAACATATACTGATTGAAATAATATTTCGTATACTGGCCTATCAACTGAAAAATTGCTACAATGGCTGTTCTGCTACGAATAATTTTTATGATTATATTGCCAAGGCAAAATAACTCACCTCAAAAAAGTGCAACCCCATAAGTCACAAAATATTTTGATAAAACTTTTTTTAAAAAATAAAGATATTTTTAAATTCAATTTTATAATAAAAATAATAGAAAAAAACTCTGAATAAAAAATTTTACCATTGGAAGGATTATATTCTGCAGTTAACTTTACCAAACAAGTAGGTGTTGTTTTATTTTCACCATCTGTGTAAAACAGGTCTTGAATGTATGGTTTTGCAGATTTCATGATGTTTACGTTGTGGTCAAACCAACGTTGAATTGCCTCCCATCGAGTTGGGCAAAGTTCTTTAGCATCTTTAAAAAAAAAACAAGATTTTTATATAATAACTAATTTGAACAAAGATTTAGAAAAAAAAGATTTTATATTTTCGTATGAAATTCAAGAATTAAATTTCCAAAGAATTGAAAATAAAAAAGTAAATAAAATAATTTTACACTATAATTTTTATTTGTTACCTTCATCGTTTACACACTTTTCGTGTGCAATATCATCTGATTCGCTATCTGGAAATTTAAATTTGTTAAAATATAAAGATTTTTCATTCAACTTCTTCTTGAACTTTTCAATCATTTCTTCTTCGTTTTTTTTACCAGTCACATTTTTGCCTAGAGCTAATACCTAAATAAAAATACAATAGCAACGTATTAAATATAACAACAGCATATTAAATATATCAACAACATTTTAAATACAATAACAATATATAACAATACATTTAATTTAATTTATTTTTTTTTGTTATTTAGATGTCCCAAAAAGACCTAACGGTTTTGTCACAGAGCACCGCGGAAGTGCATTTAACACGCTTCCTTCCGTGACGCGAAATTATGTCTTATGCAATGACATCGCAAATGGCGGAAGCATTTACTTAACGGTGAAAAGAGAAAAAAGTTAAAAGGAAAAACAAAAGAAATTATTTTAAAGAATAAAAAAGATAAGTTAAAAATAAAGTAAAATAATAAAAATATTAAAAGGTATAAACGAACTAAAAGATTAAGGTGGTAAACAGGGCCGGCGCGAGTAGGTGTCACGTGCCGACTAAGGGTCCAATTTGCCGACTAAGGGTCTAGTTTGCCGACTAAAAATCATTGATAGGGCGTTTCCCCCCCACACACACCCCTATCGCGCCGGCCTTGGTGGTAACCCTAGAAATGAATGTTGATTTTTGATGAAATTTTCAAAAAATATATTTTTATTATATTTAATGAAGAATTTTAATACCTTTTAAAAAATGTATAACATGAATAAGTTTTTTTAATATAATTGTCAATATATTGATATAATTGTGAATTGGTGCCTGTTGCTTTTCCCTAGCAACGCCCTAACAACATGTAAATGTCCTAAAAAATGCATCAGAATACTATTTTTGAAACATTTTTATGGCTATACTTTAAAGCTATAAAGTGACTATTAGCTATACTTCAAAAACTAAAACACTTTTTTATAAGCATGACGTGTGTCTGGTGATATGAATTGCTTATCGAAGGCAAATTTCTTTTTTGTTTTGAAGTCTGTTATCTGAATTTTTTATTATTTAGATTTTAGTCAGTATAAATGATTTCAGCAAAACAAAATTTGCAAAGAAAAAAGAAAAAAATACCACCAAAGAATCGCCACATGGTTAAAACCAAAGAAAAAAACTTTAACAACAACAAAACTAAAGCAGATTAAGAAACTGAATGTGCAAGCTCGAGGAAACTTAAAACTACAGGTTTTGTTACTGAATCTATTAATAATGATGATAGTAAATATTTTATGTTTATGGATATTGAACAAATGAAAAAGTTAATTCTACCAATTCTGTACTGTCCTAAATGTGATAACAAACAACCGATAGAATTTATTGATAACCTAAAAAAAAGAATGGGATTTGCTCATTTATTAGAATTGAAATGTATGAGCTGTGGTTGGATTAACTCCTGTTTTACAAGTAAAGAGTGCCACGATTCTAATCGAAAAACTAAACGTGGTCGCAAGTTGTATGAGTCAAATGTTCGAGCAGTCATTAGTTTTTGTGAGATTGGTCGGGGAAAGGCAGCATTGAAAATGTTTACTAACTGTTTTAACATGTATGGTATTGGTGAATCAGCTTTTGACAACTTGAATGACAACTGTGTTTTAACTGCATATGCTAAGTCAGCTGAAGTATCAATGAAAAGAGCTGCCAGTGCATTTTCTCAAGCAAATACTCAGCCAGTCTGCAAACGCATTACAATAGATGGTTCTTGGCAGAAGAGAGGTCATGCATCATTGAATGGTGTAGTTACAGCTGTTGTTGGTGATAAAGTTTTAGATTATCAGGCTTTCTCAAAACACTGTAAAGGTTGTACAATGTGGAGATCCAAGGAAGGTACACTTGAACATGATAGATGAAAAGTAAATCATGATTGTCATATAAACCATACTAAATCTTCTGGTGCCATGGAAGCTGCCAGTGCTATTCAAATTTTTGCACGTTCTATCCAAACAAACAATATAATTTATTCTCAATATTTAGGAGATGGAGATACTTCTTCTTTTAAAGAAGTTGTTAAATATAATCCTTACAAAGAGAACGGAGTTAAATTGAGAAATTAGAGTGTATTGGGCATGTACAAAAGCGACTTGGTACTAGAGTTCGAAATTTAGTGAAAAACTTTAAAGGGACAAATACTCCAATACATGGTAAAGGGAAACTTACAGATACTATTATTAATTCCATTGCTATAGGAGCCATTCTCTACCATTGCACCGCACTTAAAGATCCTACGTGTCGTCATGCTATGTGTCCCAGAAATAAAAATTCTTGGTGTAAGTGGCAACTTGATCAAATAAATAGTACTAAGTTTCATAAAGATAAAATTAATTTACCAATATGTATTTATTTAAAGCTAAAACCAATTTTTTAAGATTTATCTGATGATAAACTGTTAACCAAATGTCCCCATGGACAAACACAAAATGCAAATGAAGCATTCAGCGCAATAATATGGACTCGCTGTCCTAAAAATGTGTTCTCATCCAAAAGAACGTTTGAATTGGCAATAAATTCTGCAGTTCTTCATTTTAATGATGGTGGGGAAGGAGTAAAATCTGTTTTAGAAAGTTTTGGAATTAAAGGACAAATAACTTCAAAGAAACTAATGGAAGCTGATAATAAGCGTGTTAAATATATGAAGCTCAAATCTTCTAATATGGTTATTAAACAGCGTAAAAAACTAAGAAAAGTTAAAAAACGCATAGTGGATGTTGAGATTTCAAATGAAAAACAAACTTCATATATACCTGGTGGTTTTTAAGCATTATTTTTAAAATACTTTATTAAAAGTCTCGTTTCCCAGGTTTAATAATTTTCAAGACATTCCACATTTCAAAACATGGTTTTTTAAAAATGGTATGGATTTATGAACTGAAATTTTCAGGGCATTTTTATAAGATATTGATAAATCATTTCTCATAGGATTTTGTTATATAATGAGAAATTTTCTGATTTATATGAATTTTGGTACTTATTTGAGTGACTACATAAATAAACTCTGAAATATTTTTTATAACTTTAGAGTTATCAAGGCAAATCAAAAAATTCTATGACAAATGAAAATATTTATATAACAAACATTTCTGCAAAATTTCAAAGCAGTAGAGTTATTATATAGTGAGATATTATGTTTTCAAATACACCCCATTGTTTGAAGTTTAACAAATTTATTTTTGGATAATCAAGGCAAAAAATAATTTTGAATGATTTTTTTTTTAATTTTTTGAAATTGAATTAGGTTTTACTAAAAAATATCAATAAATAGCTCGAACTCAAAAAATAAATTATTTCTAGGGTTACCACCTTAAATAAAAAATAAAACAAAAAAAAGAAATAAAAAAGTAAAACGAACAAATAGACTTAATAAAATAAAACAAAAACAATCAATTAAAGGCGAAGTAACAAGTTAAAAGAAAAGAAGTTCGAAGAATATTCGAAAAAATAATAAAAATAACTAATTAAAAGAAAAATAATTCGCTAGAAATTTTCTACGCTTTTCTGTTTCCGCCAAGAATAACAAATATAATTTATTTTATTTTGTAGAAGTATTTGTGTTTGTCTTTTCGTTATCTAGTTTTTGTTTTGCCTTGCCTTTTCGTTTGTTTGTTATTATTTGTGCTGTTGTTACTAATTATTTTTATTGTTGTTCGCTGTTGTTATTAATTGAGTGTTTTCAAGCTCTCTAACGACTGCGCCATGGCCGCACAAAAGACATTACAAATACAATAATAACATATTGAATACAATAATAATATATGAAATACAATAATAATATATGAAATACAATAATAATATATTAAATACAATAATGATATGTTAAATACAATAGTAATATATTAAATACAATAATGTTAATTTTTATAAAACATTGATCAATTGTTTAGAAATTATCTTCTTTTTATGAAGAACATTCAATACTGATTTTATTTATTTTTATTTGCGATATTTTAGAAACATACACAGTTCCATCATTAGGACTATATAGTCTTATCATCAGACAATTTAGTCTTATCATCAGACAATTTAGTCTTATCATCAGACAATTTAGTCTTATCATCAGACAATTTAGTCTTACCATCAGACAATAACGTTAAAATATTTTTACAAAATCTCTATAAAAAGAAGATAAATTCTAAAAAAGATTTACTTATTCATACAAGATGTTTTTTAAACATTGATCATTTAGCTTTTATCGATGTTAATTTTATAAAAAAATAATTTCAATACAATTTTGCAAAACAATATCAAGTAAAAATATTTTTATATTTATGTTCAAAAAACAAAATTAACCGAGTCGTAAAAAAACAAAAAAAAATTAACCTCGTCGTAAAACTGTTGTAATCTTTTGTATCCTAACTCTGTTGCCATTTCTCCAGTAATATTAGAGGTTGTATAGTATTTCATTAACTTTTGATAACCTTCCTTAACATTAATTGTTTCTCCGGTAGGAAGTTTGTGAGATGTAATTCTGAAAGTTAACAATAGTTAAAACCTTTACGCTTAAAAAATAAAAAATAATTAAAACTCTTACAAATAAGATTTAAATCGATTTTTTTTCGACACCGTTTGATTTTTTTTTTTCGACTATGTTTTATTTTTTCAAGTCAACTACGTTTGATTTTTTTTTCAATTTTACTTACATAATCTAGATAATGCTTACTCAAAACCGTTAGACCTTAGCTTTCTTGACGTGCAAAATTTTTCCGGCCGTTCCTGATAATTTTATGGTTTTTAGGGTTTGCGACACGTTGAAATAATAAAATAATAAAGCCAAAAATAATACATTTCAATCAAATGGTTATAAATAAAACATAAGGTATTATTTAATTCTTTTTTTTATTATTTTTAAACATTTAACTACAACATGTTTTAATTTTTTAATTAAATATGTCCCAAGAAGTCCTTACAGTCTTATCACAAAGCATCGCGGAAGAGCATTTAATAGAAAGCTCACGCCATCTTACTGATGTTATTAAACTTGCCTTTCTTACTGATGTTACAAAACTTGCCCAGATGTGGCGTTAAATTACAGATCTTTAGCTTCTGAGGCAAGAGTGCTAACCAAAGTGCTACGGCTGCATAGCGAGTCAGTAGGTGGAAACAATGGGAAAATTTTAGTTGTCTAATCTTGAAAACTTATTTAATTTTAGTTTCTATATTTATTAAGAAATATTTATTGATAACTTATTTGTATTAAATCCCTTTGTTGCCAGGACTCTGAGCATTTAAATATTGAATGAAAAAAAAAATATAAATAAGTTATTTCGGTGACATCTACGTTGCGTCATATTTCAATTACATCTACGTAAAATAAAAAATTAGTACATGTTATTTTGGAGTATTTAGAGAAAAAAAAAACCATTTGTGAAATAAGTTTGTCATAGCATGTTATCTCAGTTATACTTTGGAAATTGCAAATTAAAAAAACAAAATCTTAAAGAAATTAATTTTTTGCCGCACTATAACTAATAATTGCCAAAATTTGCAATTTGCTGTCATATATTTATTTGAGCTATATGATGCTTCAATCGAGTTTCCATTGATTGATTGTCCCTTCAATCCCTGTTCAGATTTTATATATGTTTTAACTTGCTTGCTATGGTACTTAACTTTGCATAGCAACAACCTATTTTTAAATTAAAGTTGTTTTAACAGTATTTTATTTGCGCTAATTACACAATATTGGGCCTATGTATTAAAATGAGATCCACAATACTTATAAAATTAAATTTTTTTGGTTACTATGGATACCTTGCTTTGCGTAGCATAGCAACAGCATAATTTTGGTAGTTAGTAATTTAGTTAGTAAGTTGTAATTTAGTTAGTAATTTAGTTAGTAAGTTGTTAGTAATTTAATTACTAGCACTAACAGTAATTTAACTACTTTTAATTTTAATTATTAATACTTGTAATAACTTAATTACGAACAAGAACGGTTCTAATTAAGAACCTGTGCTGAAGCACTTGATATTTTTTTAGTAGTCCACGCGGCATTTATATTATAATATCAAACTTTTAAATAGAAAATATTTGTTATAAGAATTATTTAGAAATGGTTTTATTAGAAAATAATGAAATTAGAAAATAATGAAATTATGAAAACAATTTCATTATTTTCATAATTTTCTCCAAAAGAACAGTCTTAGTATTTGAAAACAAAATATTACTGAAGATATGTTATAATTTATTCAGCCAAAAGTTCCTGAATTTAAAGTTGATTTTAGACTTGCTGTTTAACGATTTGTTTATTTGTATAAAAAAAAGTGGAAACCTGCAAACTTTACTGTCAAAAATTTTGAAAAAAAGTTTGTGAATTGGCTTAATGAATATTTAATTGTCAGAAAAAAAGACAACCCAGTGGGCACAGGACGTAAAAAAGACGTCCTTAGGACGTTCAAATCGCGTCCGTCCGTCCCATTAAAATTCTAAACGTCTTTTGAACGTCTTATTCGAGTCCAATAATTTTTTCGTCCAAAAAATATCCAGAATGCTTTATTAAAATAAAAATAAATCAGTTAAATCACGCAAGCTTCAAACTTCATAAAATTTTTAAGTAACGCATTTTTAATAAAGTTTTTTTTCAATTACAAAAGAAGTCTTTTTACAACAACTAATAGACACGTTCCATCTAATTTTTATTTTTGTTATCAATTGAAAATTGTGGTAATATGGTAATACATGTAATGAAATTTTTACAGATAATGAAAGAAACGGTTTAAAACTGAATATATGCTATACTATGTATATATATACTTGATATACTATTAGTATAGTATTGCTATATCAAGAACCAAGTTCTAACAATAAGATTTAGACATCTCATGCAGAATCGAATTTTTCAATAGGAAAACCTGTTAATGATCATGGAACAATTATCCTGATAATTCTTTGAATTCAATGTCTTTACTCGACAACATTATGCTATTTTATAATGGAACCAGTACATTAGTTAATGATCTTCTTGAAATATTGCCAAATCAAGGTTTGGAACTTCCCAGAGATTCAAAGAGAACTTTAAAAGCACTTTATGAAAAGCGACTTATAGACAGGTTCTTGCTAATTTATATATATTTTTTTAAACATTTAATTACTTGAGAATCGTATTAATATTGATACATATATTGAAATTGATACAGATATTGAAATAAATAGTTTAAAACTGGGTATATAATATACTATATATATATATATATATATATATATATATATATATATATATATATATATATATATATATATATATATATATATATATATATATATATATATATATATATATATATATATATATATATATATATATGTATATATATATATATACTTATATATATTTGAGTTATATGTATGTGTAGAAATGTATACGTGTGTATATAAACTTTTAACTTTATAACTAACCTGTTTTGCTGTCTTCCTGCTTGTACATTTTACAAAATTATATATATAATTATATATTATATAATATATATATATATATATATATATATATATATATATATATATATATATATATATATATATATATATATATATATATATTAAGTATATACTTGACACTTGATATAGTATTTCAAGTATAATAATTGATATACTATATCAAGAACCAAGTTCTGACTGTTATTGAAATAAATAGTTAAAAACTGGGTATATGATATACTATATATATATATATATATATATATATATATATATATATATATATATATATATATATATATATACTTATATATATTTGAGTTATATGTATGTGTAGAAATGTATACGTGTGTATATAAACTTTTAACTAACCTGTTTTGCTGTCTTCCTGCTTGTACATTTTACAAAATTATATATATATATATATATTATATATATATATATATATATATATATATATATATATATATATATATATATATATATATATATATATATATATATATATATATATATATATATATATATATATATGTTAAGTATATACTTGACACTTGATATAGTATTTCAAGTATAATAATTGATATACTATATCAAGAACCAAGTTCTGACTATTTGAAAAACTTAGACATCGCAGAATCTCATGCATAGTCATATTTTTCAAAAGGAAAACCTATTAATAATACAGAGAGTTTATGGTGATAATTCAATATAATTCAATATCTTTAATTAACAACTTTTAGATTGTTCTATTCGAAATAATTGGACCAGTACATTAGTTAATGAACTTTTTGAAATATTACAATATCAAGTTTTGGAACTTCGCTAATAACCAATTACTTAACTTTAGTAATTAGTTATTAGTGAAGTTCAAAAGTTTTGACTAAAAAATAAGTCTAATTAAAAAAATTAAACCAGTCATAACAGTTATATAAGAGACAGGAGGGTAGAAAATTTCCTTTACTCTAAAGGAAATTTTCTACCCACCTGTCTCTTATATAACTGTATTAACATATGAATAACCACTATATCATATGTTGGAATGTTATTGGCAATTTACTAAGTAACCGATGAGAAACACTCCTTAATTTCTCCTTTTTTTTATCATCTAGGAAATTTTATTAAAGTAAATGGATTATACTTATTATTAAAGAAATTATATAGTCCTTTGATTGATTGCAAAGCTATATTTCTATTGTGTGTGTATATATATATATATATATATATATATATATATATATATATATATATATATATATATATATATATACACACAACCCTTGGGATTAAGAAAAAAAAGGTTGACAATAATTAGTCGACATCAATCAAAAAAACAAAAAAAAGTGATTCAAAAGTCTTACCATTAAACATAGAAACAAGGTCAGCATTATTTGTCGACCTCAAACACTTTTAGGTTGGCATTGCTGTATGCCGACCCTAATTCCAAAGGTTATATATATATATATATATATATATATATATATATATATATATATATATATATAAATATATATATATATATATATATAAATATATATATAAATATATATATATATATATATATAAATATATATATATATATATATATATATATATATATATATATATATATATATATATATATATATATATGTATATGTATAAAAGTAATATGGTAATTTATAATAATGTTTCTGTTTTTATTTTAAATTTATTGAAAAAAATAAGATTTTGTTTTCAATGTAGTTATTTTCTCCTTAATTCTGCTATTTTTTCTTTCAAAAAATCGACTTTCATGACCAAATCTTTTTAAATAATAGAAAAATGTCTCCTTAAAATCCTGACTTATAGCGTCAGTTTTAATAGTAAAAATACAAAATATATGTCAAATAAAATAAAAATGAGTTTTGCTAAAATTTAAAATTATTAGAATTAGTTAAAATTTAGAACTATTAGTTATTATTAGTTAAAATTAGTAGAATTTGTAGTATTAGTTAAAATTTAGAAATAGATAGTGTGAAACATCAATTAGATACAATTTAAAGTTGAACAGAAAAATTTAAAAAAAAAAAAATGCTAATGCTAAAAAAAAAAACACTTGTAAGAATATTTTTTACTTTATCAATAAGTTTTATTTACTTGTTAATTAAGATTTTATTTTTAGGAGCGTCAACTACATCAAGTGTCAGTTGATATATATGTTTTGGTCAAATACATGTTTGTATTTGGTAATATTATGTTACATTTTTGTTTTGTATTTCAAAAACTCATATTGCATTTATTTAAATATGCATTTAGGAATCTAGAATTGATGTGTTTGTAGTTTTTGTATCTAATTTTGTTTTAAATTAAAGAAATTTTATTTTAAATGTATTTAACTCTAAAGTTCATTTTTATTATTGCCTTAGGTTTTAAAAAAATAGAACAACGGTTTTGGCAATAGTTCATTTTATGTGATGGTTGATGTGATATAATTTATTTTGTGTGATATGCCTAATGAATTTTTATTAGTAAAAACTTCTTTAATTCATTCAGCTCCTCCAAAATTTGAAAGTCTGTGATTCATTTTATTCTATTTACGTCTATTTCAAATAAACGAAATTGTTAAAAAGTGTGCTATACGTTTTTTGTATACATATTTAAATATATGCGAAGATTTTTGTATAAGAAGTATCTTTTATTTTTCAAACTACTTTTATAACATTTATTGATGTTTTAAATCATTTTTTAGGACAACTGAATTTCGCTTTTCCCAAAACAAAGTTAAAGAAAATATATGAAGTCAATGATAAATCTTAAAGTTTTACAAAGAATAATGTAAGTAATATTTTTTCTTCTAATAACTATCTTGGAAGTTATTTTAACTATCTAGGCCTTTTATCTTTATAAATTAATTTTTTTAATACTTCTCAATACTCAAAATAGGTACCTAGTCAATTCAGCAAGAAAAAAAGAACATTTAAGAATTTCCTTTCAAATAATGTAGTTGTAAAATTTTAGTTATATTTTAGTTAGTTATATATATATATATATATATATATATATATATATATATATATATATATATATATATATATATATATATATATATATATATATATATATATATATATATATATATATATATATGTATATATATATATATATATATATATATATATATATATATATATATATATATATATATATATATATATATATCTTCTTCATATCCTGTAACCTCAGGGGTTCTTCAATGTTCAATCCTTGGCCCTATACTCTTTTTAATTTACATTAACTCTCTTGCAGATATTATCACATCTAAGGTGGCATTGTTCGCTGACGACACTACTATTTATTCTTGTCATGATAAGAAGCCTACACTCTCTGATTGCTTGGAGGGGGTATCTGAGCTTGAAAAGGATCTCACCTCTGCTACAGCATGTGGCTCACAATGGCTGGTGAACTTTATTTCAGATAAAACTCATTTTTTTTCGGCCAATCGTTATCGCAATAATTTTGATCTTCCTATATTTATGAATGGTAATGTACTAGATGAGTCATATGCCCTTCACCTTCTATGATTACCTTTTACTTCTGATCTTTCTTTTAAACCGTATATTAAATCCATTGCAAAATTAGCATCTGCAAAGGTTGCATCTCTTTATCGAGCTCGACACTTCCTTACTCTAGATTCTATTCTCTATCTCTATAAATCTCAAATCCGTCCCTGTATGGAATACTGTTGCCATATCTGGGGCAGATCTTCTATTGATGCCCTTTCTCTTTTAGACAAGGTGGAAAAACGCATTGTAAACATAGTTGGACCTGCTTGTGCAGCCATCTCCAACCATTGTCACATCGTCGTGATGTTGCTTCTTTTTCTCTTTTCTACAAATACTATAATTGGCACTGCTCTAAAGCTAGTTTTTTTTCTTCGAACATCAGTTCTTTGGAATTTGCTTCCTTCGTCTTGCTTCCCTGATTCATATAATTTGCAATCTTTTAAGTCATCTGTCAATCATTATCTTGCTCTACGAACTTAATCTTTTCTCTTCCAATAACTTCCAAACTCTTATAGTGGTTGTTCGCAGCCTTGTTGGAAGCGAAGATGTAATATATATTTTTTCTATTATAATTTATATATATATAAATTATAATATATAGTCTTTAATTCATTTACTTACTTATCTTAAGAATAATGAAATATAAAAAACGTTTAAAGTTGAGAATAGTTTTGATCTTTACTAGTATGATTCTATCGCCAAGTTTCTTGAATGTGATCAATCATTTCTCGATACTAATGTTGCAAAAAGTAGTATATTTTTTATTATGGTTAAATGTTTAGTTTTTTTTTATAAGGGTAAATTTCATAAAAAATTTTGATCTGTAATTATATACATAATACTCACTTTACAAGTAAACATAATTTACACAAAATTTTTGAATTGAATAAAACACTAATGAATTGCTCCTATGCCCAATATAACTTACACTAAATTGTCCCATATCAATTACACTAGTGTTATCTTTTGAATTTAGAAATAGAAGTTATTAAATGTTGGTGGCTCATCATGCAATGCATTTGAGAAGGGCATGCTTTCAAAGTAAGTATAATTTTACTATAAAAAGAGCATTTTTAATACCGCAATTATATTGCATACTTGATATACATAAATATATACGCTGGTCACAACAATCCAGTCAAAAATTTCTTTAAAAAAATAAATTTAGTGTTGTGAAATTCGTATTTTTTGATGTTTGATGTTATGTTTATAAAATAATAATTATATATATGTGTGTGTGTGTTATTTATTTCTTTCCCCTTTATTTTTACATACTTATCTTAACAATATTTTTTTAAGGTTAAGACTGCTTTCCTGATTCCTACAGCAAAAAAAAAACTTTAAAATGCTGGTGGCAATATTTAAAGAGTGCATCTGATCGAAAAGAAGTGAATGACGTCAACTGTTCGAAAATTCGATTCTTGGAAATTAACAAGTGGAAGAAGAAGTTTACAAAGTTGTAATTTATAAAACTCAGCACAATTATATTATTAAAAAATTTAAATGATTTATTATTTTTTTCTTATTCTCAAGAAGTTCTGTAAAAACATAAATTTGAACCTTACGTTTAAGTAAAGCCATGTTAGAACACGTATTTTAGACGTCGAAATAAGAACGTCTAAATTAGGTTATTTAAAGACGTCATTCGGCGTTTCCATTTAGCACTAGTTCTGAACGTCCTAAATTCACGTCTTTTAGACGTCTCAAAACACGTCTTTATTCCGTCCTAAAAAGACGTCCTAATTACGTCTTAAAAAGATGTCATCTGGCGTTGCCATTTAGAACCAGTTCTGGACGTCCTAAAAAGACGTCCTTTCGACGTCATATGGACGTTTCCGTGCCCGCTGGGAATGAACCAACTGCAAGTAGATGTGGTCAAAAGCCAGTTACATTTGATGGTAAATCTAATAAAACTAAAAAATGGCGTGTATCTGGCTTTCTTGAATTTCATTCATTCAATAAACAACTTTTTGCTGTTAGTAAAAAATTAAGAGATGAATCTATTGTTATTGCTGCCAAGAACGTTTTAAATATTTCAAATACAGATAAAGCAAGTAATTATTCAGCAGACGAAGGACTGGCTTTAATAATTGATGCCAGTCTGACAAAAGCTTTCTATCAATTAATTAAAAGTGGAACCTTGGAGAAATAATATGACATCTACCCTGCTTACAATGATGTCAGGGATGCAAAGTTAAAATGTTATTCTGGAAATATAAGAGTGGAATACAGTTCAGCTTCAGTTCCTTTAAAATATTTAATGACTCATACTTTGTAAAGAATATGTGCAATTTAAGAACCTGTGCTGAAGCACTTGATATTGAACAACAAAGCAATAAAAAGAATGATACTCAAGTGTAAGGCTGGTTTTGATGGTGTTACTAGCTAAAGCATTTATAAACAAGTTTTATTAGCACCTGACATGAACAGAAATTTAAAGCGTAAAGAATCATTAATTATCATAGAAAAAAAAGTTATATAGAATTTCTATAAACTTTTGAAACATATAGCCTATAGAAATTCTGTAGAATGTCTGTAGAAATTGCCATAAAACTTTTTTTTCTATAGAAATAAAAGTTCTATAGAAATTTCTATAGACGTTAACAGAAATTCTATAGAAATTTTTTAGAATTCTATAGAATTTCTATAGACCATGTGTTTCAAAAGTTTATAGAATTTCTATAGAACTTTTTGCTGGTACTACTTGTCTAGTCCCATTAGATTTGACTGGATTTAACAACAGCAAAGAAAAGACGTCTATTTTGAGAAATCAAAAGTCGTCATCCACAGGTTATTGTAGACCCATAAGATTTGCATACAAAAAGGAATCCAGGGAATCTATGATTGAAGAAGATCAGTACATTAAAAGTTAGAAAGTTTGGGTATAATTTTATTAGAATTTTGCGGATCTACTATTGAAGTGAATTGTATTATTGAACTTACAATGGTTGATGGGAAGGTTCAAACGATATTATTTGGAAAATCTAACTCATATCAATGCTTTTCAGTGTGTGGCGTCTGTCCAAAAAATATGAATAATCTTAATAAAGATTTTACAACAGAAAGCTCAAATATGGTATTTCCAGACTTCATGCAGGGATTCAACTTTTTGAGATGATTTTGCATATTGCATATATAAAAGAAACTAGAAAGTGACAAGCAAGATCTAAATAACATAAAGAAAAGGCATCTTGTAACTAAACAAAAGATTCAAACTGATTTTATGAACAATATGGGACTAGTTGTTGATTTCCCTAAAAGTGGTGGTTCTGGAACAAGCAACGATGGAAATACTTCAAGGCGTCCTTTTGCAGCATATGAACAAACAGTTAAAATTCTGGCTATTGATCAAAATCTTATATTCAGATTTTACATTATCTTGGTAACTATATTTAGGATAGAAAATAGACTGCTTAAAATTCAAAGATTATTGTTTTGACACTATTAAACTATATGTGCCCCTTTATCCATAGTCATTACATGGCTCAATCTGTGCAAAAAGTGCACAAACATGGACATGGTATAATTAAAAGCCTTACATTACCCATCGGACTTATGTTAGAGAGGCTAGAAATAAAGAATTCAAATCTTATTTCAAAAATTTCAGCCAAAAAACATCCAAAAGACCAACAAATACTAATCTAATCAATAGACTCCTAGTTTCCAGTAATCCTGTTAATTTATCACTGCGTAAATCAACATCACATTTAATAAATCATAAAAGTTTCCTTCAGATATTTACAATTACTTAAAAAATCTTCAACTGATATTATTGTTTTATAAAGTTTGACGTAATTTAAAATTGATAATGTTTTCTTGCACTATTTTTTGTTTTTACTATTGCTAAAACATTATTTACCTAAATAGTTAATTGTTATTCTATATAGGTTGGTTGAAAATCAGTTAAGATTTATACAAAAATTAATTTGTAACTAAGAAAAGTATCTGGTATCCAAGCAATATAAGTATCCATTGCTACTAAATAAAAAATTTTTTAACTTTTATAAAAAGTCTGATCTCATATTGGTACTCATTCCAAAATTAGTGAGTATAGCACTCGCAAAATATCTGCAAATACCAAAAATAGGATGTTGTTAAGCAAAATAAAAGTATCCATAGCAACGAAATAAAAAAATATTACCTTCATAAAAAGCGCATACATCATATTAATATTCATGCTAATTTTTGGTGAATATAGCCTTATTAGTAAATTAGTTTTAAATTTTGTCCAGTAAAAGTGAATTCTGGCTCACTGAGGGCTGCTTTTATGTTAGCAGTATGTTTGCAACATGTTTGTAATATTTGCAATTGCAAATATTACAAACATATTGCAAACATACTGCTTACATAAGAGCAGCCTACAGTGTTCAATTTAGACAGTTTTGCGGCAAATTTATATTGCAATGTGAAGACTGGTCATAATTGCCTCAGATTAATACTATGGAGTTGTGGCATATGTGTGAACAGTGGCTTAGCTAGGAGGAGGAGGGGGTAAACTAGGTTCCGCCCCGGAACCTGGTTTACGCGGCATATGCCCTTACAACTGTGAATATGACCAAAATTTGTTAGCAGAGTTCAAAAATAATTATTTTCGCTAAGTCCTGCCTATGTTTAAAGTTTATTGGACAATATAGAGAATCTGATAAACAAAACTTAACATCAAACTTTTTAATTATGTAATTTTGTAAACCAAAAAAAATGTTAATAATGATTTGTTTATACAATATGGAATATTATACAACAGTTCATTTACATTTGCGCAAGAAACACAGCAATTAGTTAATGACGCTCATCACTAAAATAAACCCTCCTATTTACAAATTCTAGCAATAGTTTATATTGAATTAAAATCCCCAAATATTAATATTAAAAGCCATATATACACATTAACAATAATTAATAATCAAACTGTATAACTACATAATCGTTAACCAAATGGCCGTGAGCTTTTACAATAAAATTATTCGTTTTAGAATAATTTCAGAATAAACCCTGAACACGTTAAAAAAAACCTTTTAGTAAAAATAAATTTTACTTTGTTTCTGTTGATTTCGCTGTTCAAGATGGTTCTCTACACAGAATAAGAAGTTTTCAAAATAATATTAGATAACAATGTTAATTCAGTAAAAACATTATTTACAGTGTTTAAAAAGTTGGAGAATATTAACGAGGTTGATGAACATTCAGAGTTAGTTTTAACAAATATATTTAGGCAGTTCAGCAACTTAAAAAAATCAATGTTTATTGCAAAACGTATTAAGATTGAAAAAGAAGCTCAAGTAAAGCTGAGAAAAGTGGAGGTAAACACAAACTTCAAGCTTATACGTAAATTAAATAATAAAATGACATAATTATTATAGAATATTTTTCAATTAGTGAAGATATTACTGCATTTATAAATAAAACTTAATTTTGTACGTTAATGACTTTCGTGAATATAAATCATAAAATTTATTATTAATAATGATACTATTTAAAAAATTTAATGTCATATTTTCCTATATAGGTTTTGCTGTCGTTTAATGAAGATATGACCAAGAAGATGACTACAATTCAAAAGATGATACGCAAAGAAAGAGAAATTAATGGGATAATATTCCTCAAAAGTCAAAAATTCGGAAAACAGAAGAACTCTGGAAAAATGTAAACAAACTTGTTGAAATCATATTGATGTGAAAGAGGTTTGTGATTTTTTATCACAAACCTCTTTCACATTAGTATTCTTGATTATCTAGATGTTCATCCTCTAGCTGTGTCAAAACTACCCAAATAACAACTGTAACAGCTGTTTCAACCTGCTGTGACTCACTGCTGGGTCAATTAGCATGCAGAAAGCTGAGGAAAATTCTGAGAGCTAACAATATTGATGTTTACCCAAGCTAGAAAGAAGTTCAAAACTTCAAAAATTCTATTACTCCTCTGAGAACCATTTTCCTACCTGAACCATATATTGGAGTTTACTCTACTTTTACAGAATCTATCAAAATCCCTAATTCTTAAGCTTGAAAATGTCCATATCACAAATGAACTAATAAATTTAGTTCTTGAAACTTAGTTTGGTTATGATGGAAGCGGAGAACATAAAATGTATAATCAGCTACATAATGTAAATGCCAATAATATATTCAGGGCAATGTTTTAAAAAACTTTTAAAACATTGCCATGATCCCTCTAAAACTTTTAAACTCTAATGCTGATGGAAATAACTTAATATGGTAACAAATATCCCAAACTCAAATTTTTCACAGAGACCTCTGATGCTCCAAATAGGAAAAGAATCACGTGAGAATGCACAGTCTATAATTATTTTTAATGCGGAAATCAAAACAATGAAAGAGGAAGGTTTTATTATTATCTTCAACGGATAATATTTGAATATTAAAGTAAACATTGTTTTAAACAGTTTTGACAAAAAAGCATCAAATACATATCAGGGCTTTGAAAGTGCTTATTGTGATCTTTGTGATTTTTCTGAGGAACAATGTGAAGATAAATGTACAGTTGAACAGGGATTCATTATAAATAGAGACATTAAAACTATAGAGCAGATACTTTTGGATTTAGTTCATCAAGATGGTTCCTTAACTAAAAAGTTAAATGATTATGATGTTTGCCATGGGAAAACAGCAAGTTCAATTGCTGGATCCAATGTAAGGTTTGTAGCCAGTACTACCTACTTCCTTGAATAGAGAAAAAATATATACATGAGTTAATTGTCAAAATAACAGGAATTAAGTGGGATTTTTCAGATTCATCAAGTTAAGGGGATAGTACTACAATTGGCAATGTAGCTAGAAGTCTGTGAAAAATAGAAAACTGATTACTGATTACATTTCAAATAAACATGATAGAATATTAACAGAGCGGTATGCTCTCTTGTTGTCTAATATTATTCGTGCTATGTCATCTAGTCAGAAAAAATTAGTTGTTAAAACTAAAGTAAAAAAAATGATCCATTATCGCTAAAACTAAACTAAAAAAAAATGACCCTTAGGGAAGAATAGGGCAATGGCGAACGCAGGGTAAATCCAAAGACAATCAAAACGACATAATAGAAGATATTTGACAATTTCTTTTTAGCTGCTGCGTCCCATGCTCAGTTCCAGACGCACAGTAGTGTAATAGAGTTGCAATTGTTGTTCACAATAAATTGATCCTAATCCTTTCTGATAATTTCATGCAACTTTTTTCTTGAGAAACATTCCTGTTGTAGCTATTATAGATATAACACCGCTACTTTTGTCGTTATTGCTGCTTAGTACCATAATAAGGAGTTTTAACACGTATTATATTTAGGTATGTTAATACAACCTCAATAGATTAATTGTTTTTCAATTGTTTGTGTCCATGCAGAAATAACGAACGATCTTAGTTGGGTAGTTTCGAACGTTTAAAGTGTCAGAACATGGACGTCAGGCAACGAGAACATTAATGTTTCTAACTTTTTTTTTTTTCATTTTCACATAAATTGTTAAAATACTATCTCTGTACCTAATTTACCAAAAAAATAAAAACTGAGAATGTTTAAGAAAGAAAAGCCGCCATTTTTATTAGTTCGCCAATGAGAAATATTTTATAACAAAAGAAAGATAGGAAGAAGCAAGAAGTAAAAAAACAAAGACTTTATCTTTGATTTTTGCACTTAATTATTACAATTTTATTTTTTTGTTACTTGTCATTTCATTTGTTTGTTAATTAGCATTTTATTTGTTTATTAATTAGCATTTTATTTGTTTGTTAATTAGCATTTTATTTGTTATTACATAAAATTTTTGTTACCTCACGGTGTATTCGGAATTACCCCGTGTAAGTAGAATTATTGTGATGACCAATTCACCAACATTCCGAATGGTTTTATTTTTCTCATAAGTTTTTATTTTATAATAAAGTTTGTAAAAATTGTTTTTGAGGGTTTGTGACTAAATAGTTAGAGTAAATGATAATCAATAAATATGATCAATTTCGAATAACTGGTGTCTTTAATTCGTATTCCCGCTTCGCTGTCCGCCAATACCCCACTCTCCCTTAGTTGCTAAAACTAAACATAGTTGCTAAAACTAAAAAAAATGAACCATATTAGATTAAACTAAACTATAAAAAAATGACCCATTGTTGCTGAAAAAAAGTATTTTTGAAGGTATTGTTAAATCCATAGTACTTTATACATACTTATAACATTGTTATAAAGGTTTTTCAAAATGAATAGAAACAAAATCAAAAATAAATGTTACTTACTGCTCTTGTTTCTCGGAATCTTTGAATTTATGCTTTAAAGGTAATCCTCCTAAACCACTAGATACACTACTTGGTGAGCAATACACAAAGTGCTCATTTTTAAAGTAATCAATCATGTCTTTGAGCGGTTTGCCAAAATCATCAATGATCGCTTCTTTTAAAAGTTCTACGTACTCTTTCCCGTTATTTTTGTTTTTAAATTCTTCAAGATGAGACTCCGTAATAAATTTATAATATGATTCATTTAAAATATTTCCATTTCCAAGTAAAAGAGTAGAAAAACCTAAATTAAGAGCGTTTTTTGGTCCACCATTATAAACTTGTCTGTAAAGTGTTGAAAGTGTCCGAGATGCCGATCTAATAAAATATTTAAACTCATAAACTATTTTTTATACATTTTATACATTTATACATTATACATTTATATACATTCAAAGAAACCATAATAATTTTTCAGAAACAATTATTAATAGTTTATAAAAATTTGATTATTAAAAGTTTAACAGAAGCATTTAACAAAACAATAAGAATTATTTGATATTAATTATTATATAAAAAGTGATAATAATAGAAAAATAATAATAAAGGTAATAATGATAAGTAATAATACAATAAATAAAACAATAACATAAAAAATTAAAAAAAAAGGAAAAAAATAGAAACAGCCAATGGAAATAATTAAATGAAATATAAAGTGATATTTCCATTTCGAACCTTGATAATTTCTTGGTGTTACCACCTAATTTTTAATCTCGGTGAAGAAGCTGATATAGTACAAATTTTAAAGTGAAATGTGACATTTATTTTTAAACATTCTTCACCGTAGTGCCTCCACCTTCCTTAAGGAAAAAATTTTTAACAAATATAATTTAAAAAATTGCGAAAAATAAAATTTTCAACATACTTGCAAACTTCAACGGGTTGAACCATTCCTAATTCAATCCCCTGTTTTGCGTTTTCAGTGTATTGCGTAAATGTCTTTCTATGTTCTCGTATCCAGTAAATAATCAGTTCCAAATCTTTTACGCTTGCAACAGTTATTCTCTTAAGGGCAGCTAACAAGTGGTTACTAATAACACAAATTGGCTGCTCACAAAAGTAATCTGGTCCTAGCATCCAGACTCCATCGTAATAACTGCCATAAATATTATCAAAGCTTGATTCAAGAAAGTATTGAAACTGACTTAAAAGTCTTTCTTCTCTTGGCTTTAAAAGTGTTTTATTTATAGGTAAATGATGTAATATATTTAATTGATGTCTTGCAGCGTCAGCATTTTTTTTAATATTTTCGTATGTTGGAATATATGGATGAAACTGCTTTTTGACTTCAGAGCTCGATATGTCATCATTTGTGGATGCCATGTGTCTATTGTTCTTGTAGTATTCTTCTTTTATCTTAACAAAGTATTTATATTGAAAATTGCTTTCAGCAAGCATGCTAAAGGTTTCTTTCAGAATGCATTATTTTAGTAAGCGTGCTATATTTTCCTAAGATGCATGAAATTAACAAGCGTGCTTAAATTTTTTAAGTATGCAAATTTAGCATGCACGAGAATGTACATTTTTTACAAACATGAATTACTTTAACAAGCATGTTGAAACTTTACCAAGGATACATGATTTATCAGGTATGATAAAAATGTATTTGTATTTAAATGTTATGGTTTATATTTCTCGGGTTCAAAGATATAATCTGAAGTTTTATTTTAAACTTTGAAAACTTATTCAGCAATTTGAAAAGTTATTGCACCCGCCCCCTTCCCCTCAAACTCCCGATATGAATAACTTATTTGACAATATTAGTGTTCAACATACAAGTATTCGACACATCAAATACAGAAACTCATATAATAGTTTATAAAATATAAACATTTGCTAAAAAATAAAAAAGACAGAAAAAATACTTCATTTGTACAAAATATTACGTAAGATTCTAAAAATTTTGTAATTATTATTTAGGTGCTCCAAGAAGTCCTAACGGTCTTATTACAGACTACCGTGGAATAGCATTTAACCCTTTAGTTTACGCCTCCATCCTTACAAATGATGCATATATGGCCAATACCGGCTTTGAACCACAGAAATTTAGCCCTAAAGCCAAAACTCTAAACATTACACTACGGCTGCATAAATCAGACCGTAAGACTTTTATACATTTTATTTTCCAAAACCATACCTTAAAGACTTTTAAGTATAAGTGTAAATTTTTTGTTTTGGAAAATTTTACTCCTTCGTGAAAACCTTTTATAAAAAAAAGGAAAATTTTGGGTAATGGAGTGAAGCAAAAAAAAATTGTTAAAGATACCCCAAGTAATGAGCTTTACAGCTAGAATCTTCTAAAAATTTGTATATTTACTCTATATTTTGATGCTTTTTTTAATTTTTTTTTTTAGTTATTGAGGTGTTCTGAAAAGATCACAGAGCACCGTGGAAAAACGTTTAATTAGGAAGTTCACGTCTCTTTCCTTACCTGGATTGATTATATGGCAAGAGTCGGCATCGAACCTCTTGGTTCTTATTCAGAACTTTAACCACTGAACCACGGTTATCTTAATTTCAAACTGCCTGATTCAAACTGCTTTGATCTCAAAATTGTTAGTTTTGAGATCAAAGCAGTTTGAATCAGGCAGATTCAAGACACCGTTGAAATACGTAAAAAAAATACATACGTATTTAATATATTTAAAAAAATAAATATACGTATTTAATAATATACGTATTTAAGACTAAAAAAAATTTCTCTGCGAAAAGAGAAAAAAAGTATTTTTAAAGTTTATCTTAAAAAAAACTGACAAAGCAACAATCTTTTTGTCAATCTTTACAAATTAATCAAATAAACATGTTTCCTAGTTTTTATATCATAGAGAAGTTTTAAAACTTAGAAAAGTGAGATAAAATATATTAAAACTAAATAAAACTAGATAAAATATTTAAACTAAATATTTTTTTTTTGCAGGTTAATAGTCCAAAGTTGTATAAATGCGTCCATTTTCAGGAAACCTGTTGGTAGTATAAATATCTTCGAAGAAAAATAATACCAAATAACAACTTTTCTTTTCTTTATTTTTTATTTTTTTTTATTTTGGTAAACTATAATTATGCGCCAAAAATTACGTATATACACCTCTTTGCAGAAAAATTAACTGGTTATGTCAATAAACAAGGGTTGTTACTTTAGGCAACTTAAAAAATATTATTTTTTATAATTTCTATTTGCAAATAATTATATTTCTTTGAAAATCGAATAAAAGCGGCTTTACGGATTAGTTTTTTTTATAAAACTTTATACATAGTTTCATAGAAGTAAATCTGTTTTTGACGTAGTCAAGAGTTAACTTTACATAATTTTTAAAATACAGTTTGTGTCGACGACATAATTTTTAAAATACAGTTTGTGTCGACGAATTTAAATTTAGTTTAAGCTTATTTTTATGTAATTGGATAAAATAATTTTTCAAAATTACAACAAACAACTCTTTTCAGCATAATCAGTAAAAAGGTAATTTTAAATTTAATCAATTTTAACAAAATCAATCTCATTTAATTAGTGGAAGAGGTTGAAGAAGAGGTGGTTTTTTTAAACATTAAGCCACATGATCGGTTTTCATTAAACTACGTACAGATCTGATATTATTAAATCATGAATAGATTCACGTCCATATGTTAAAGTTTAATTCTTTATGAAACAAAAGTTAACCTACCATACTAAATAGATATGAAAATTATTATTCTCGAATGCATTTAAATTTGTCAGACGTTTTAAAAAACTTCAACTGATAATAGTATTGATTACTTTTAAATTTTTAAAATGGCTCAAATTTTATCGGTATCTTGTTGCAAAGATCATTAATAATGATATGTAAATAATTAAACTTCTGCCATATGAATCTCAAACAGCTACATACTTTAAACAACTCCAAGTTAATACTATCTTTGATATATTAAAAATTAAAAAGTTTTATTGTTTTATGCACTGGTGCCTAAATAAAAAACTGCAAAAAATATTTAATGATTATTTTACTCTACATAGTGGTATAAGCACACACTAAACATGAAACTCTAATATTTGCCAGTTAAACATCCAAATATATTTCTAATGGGAAATGTTCCTTCACAAACTTAGCAATTAAAGGTTGAAAAAAAGCAATTTAAATACTACTCTTTTTTATATCTCCAAATACATATGTTTAAATTTAAACTAAAACATTATTTATTAAACTCTGGAGGATGTAAACAATAACTATGTTACAAAAAATGTATGAAAGATATATGATATGTGTATATATGAGTTTTATCAAAAACTTTATTGTTATTTTTTTTCTATTTCTCTTTTTATTCTATTTGTTCATCTATGGTAATTTTCCACGTTTAGCTTTCGCGTGAGGTGAACACTAAAGCCCTCACACTATAGCTCTGCTATAGTTTGAGAACTGTAGTGTTCACTTCACGCTAAAGCACATTTTGGTTCACTCTTACACTATAGCTTCGCGTATAGCATGAAAGTAAACCAAACGAAACCAATTTACACAAAAGAAACATATGTATCTGTATTTTTGGTAAATATATTGTTGCTGCTGTTATTGTTGTTTTCGTTGTAATTGTTGTTGTTGTTGTTGTTGTTGTTGTTATTGTTGTTGTAGTTATTGTTGTTGTTGTTATTGTTGCTTTTGTTGTTGTTGTTATTGTTGTTGTTGTTGTTGTTGTTGTTATTGTTGTTGTTGTTGTTATTGTTGCTTTTGTTGTTGTTGTTGTTGTTGTTGTTGCAAAAAATATCCCAACATTATTAGATTAATATCCCAAAAACATTAGAAAAAATATCCCAACATTGTTTATCCTTTTGTTGCTAGACCTATTCAACATTTGGTTCCAAATAGGGGTGTGAAGTCTTAAAAAAATAGTAACGACTCCGACTCCAGTTGTTGAAATTTTTTGAGTGCAACTCCGACTTCTACTCCAACTCCGATTCCGATTCCAACTGCAAAGCAAAATTTTTGAAAAACTCTTTGAATTCATTAAAAATTATTACGCGATAAATAAATAAAAAATTTTTCGACAAATTTATGAAACATTTTTTGTAGTTTAGTATGAACATAAGGTTAATTAAACGTTTTGTTCATGCACGTTCAATGCCGAGAAGTTTTACTATTAGAGTCGGAGTTGCAATTTTGTTTAGTGACTCCGACTCTGCTAAAAATGTCGCTATTCCGTAACTCAAATTTCGACTCCACAGCCCTGGTTCCAATTGCAATTTTTAAAGGTTTATTTTTCTTATAAGACAAACATTTTGATATAGAAGAACTAATCATCAAATTTCTCCTTTTTGTCAGATAGAACAGAATAACTTCGGACTTAACTATAGTTACTTAAGGATTATCTAAGCAAGCAGCAGATTTATATCTCAAATAAAAAAAAAAGGATCTTTTTGAATGTTTTGAAAAATTTTTTTATGAAGCCAAGAAATTGACATTGAAAACAAATAAAAAACAATCTTGCATTGGCCATGCCAATTATTGTAAATACGAATGTATTATTAAAAAAAAAAAAAGAGAAGAAAAAACTTTAAAAAAAATTTTAAAGTTTTTTAAACGATAGTGTTTGCTTTCAGTCCATGGTTACAACATTTCCAGACTATTAGAGACACTCACTACCTTTCTAGCAATAAAAGATTTGATTTAACCATGGATAGAAAAAGAAAACAGCTCTGTTGTTGTTTGTGGCTGTAATAAATAACTTTTTTGGATATAAAAAAGCAAAAAAACTTATGCAGATTTGTTTGGTAAAATATACAAAGTCTTTGTATTCTTGAATGCAAAATTCATGTAAAACTTCATTTTATAAATAATTATTTTAACAGTTTTCAGAATGTTTTGAAAATGAAGGGAAAGTAAGAAGAGCAGTTCTACCAAGGTCTTTAGAAAATTGAAGATTGTTACTGAGGACGTTGAGATAAGAACAGGATGACAAACTACTGTTAAAGCATGTTAGGTCTTCTTGGGGCACCTAAATAACAAAAAAATTTTTTTTTTGTTATTTAGGTTTTTATTTTTTAAAAATACCTTCCCAGACAGCAAGTATATACTGGTCCGATAATGGCTAGCCAATGCCAGCGAATTCTTTATAGGCCCGATAAAGTTCCGCTCTTGTATTGCCAGTTCTTTCAGATATATTTGTATTTTTCATACAAATATATCTTAAAACTTTATTGTTTAAAAAAATAATTTTAGGTGGTTCTATATTAAGTACATAATAATTTTTGAATAAATTTTAAAAATTAATATTTATAAAAAGAAATATATGTTTTTTAAATAATTTCTAAATAAATTATTGCAATTAATTCTTTTGTTAAATAAATAAAGGGGTAATACTAATCCGCGGAAAATGAATCCGCGGAAACTTTTGTCGTTTGTTGTCTTTAAATTTAATGTAAACCCGCAATTATAATTACGAAACTTAATATTAAGAAACGAACAAATTTTAAAATATGGTTTCAAACTCAGTAAAATTAAACAAAAAAATAATGACGACCTATTGCAACTAAAGTTGTTTTATGTTAAATTTTTTTTTTTAATTAAAATTTTAATAAAGTTACTAATACGTGAAAGAAAATCATTTTTTCACAGTTTTTTTAACTGTATCTGATTGCCAACCTTGTTTTATTGCTAAAATAACTCATAGAAAATTTGACAACCCTCCGCGATATATATATTTTTAATTATTTTACGTTTTTAAAAATTTTGAACAAAGTTAAAAATATGGGTCGCGGGGGGTCGTCTTTTTTTTAAGAGTTTTTTTAGCAACAATATAAGGTTGTTCATCAGATACAGTTAAAAAAACTGTGAAAAAATGGTTTTCTTTCTAGTAATAAGTCGTTTTAGTAACTTTTTTAAAATTTTATCGTAAAAAATTTTTTAACATAAAACAACTTTAGTTGCAATAGGTCGTCATTGTTTTTTTGTTTAATTTTACTGATTTTGGAAATATAAGCTAAAATTTGTTCGTTTGTTAATTTAAAAATTTGTTCGTTTGTTTGTTAAGCCGGGTGAATAAAAATGAGCAATTGCTTTTACCTAGTAATTGGTCAGCTTTACGTGAATAAAAACTTTAGAAGTTTTTCTCAAATTTTTATTTAAGTAAAGTTGAGCAATTTACTTAGTAATTGCTCAGCTTTACGTGAATACAAAATTAAGTTAAATTCTCTATGCTTTTATTTGCGTAAAGCTGACCAATTACTGAGTAAAAGCAATTGCTCATAATTATTCACGCGGATTAGTATTACCCTAGTATCAGATGTTGCACTACAAATAAAATAATGATCATGATATATTAACATTATTTACATCAAACATTACCCATTGAATTTTAATGTTTAAATTATTTTAATGTTTAATGTTTAAATATTTTTTTTCCACCAAGCCAAAGCTGGTTTAAGAAACTTAAAACCTAGGTTAGTTGAAGAAACTTAAAACATAATTATGGTAACTGAAGAATGATTGATATTGATAAAAAAAAAAACTGATAAAAGTGTTGGTTTGTTAGAAAAGGAAGTATATAAAATGTATGTATATTATTGCGTAGATTACTTGAACAATTTTGCTTTATTTTATTATCTTTTTGTTGTCATATTCATAACTTTTCTGTAATATAATTTGATTGTTATTAACGCATTTATCTTTTATATTCTTATAGTTTATTAGGAATAATATAAAGATAATATTTTCTTTATAAATACAGTATAAGAATGTTATTGTGTTATGTAAATTTTTGCAAGTCAAAAAATGTATACCTGAGTATTACTAACATATGAAGCACTAAATAGGAAAAGTTACCAAGTCTAGGTTTGAAAATATAAGTGTTTTTAACAAAATAATTTGAAGCATTTGTTGTTGTTTTTTTTTTTTTTTTTTTTTTTTTGAGTAGTTTAATCTATATTTAATTTTTTTTTTCAAATAAATTTACTAATTTAATTACTTTTAAACTTACTAATTTAATTACAGTAAATAAACCAAAAAAGTTGTGATACACATTATTAGTGTTGTGATACACATTATTAGTCTAACAAAAGCAGATGCCAGACATTAGGAGCTTTTCACAGTTTTGTATATATTTATCGTAGAGTGTTAAAAATATAACTAAGTTATATTTTATTGCTTTCACAACTTCTAGTTATAAATGGTTTTGTTTGTCAGCTATTATATTTATGAAAAAATAATGTTGGCCGTTTGATTTTTTGGATTGTTGTTTATATATCATTTATTGTTGTCTATTGTGGTAGAATTCTTTATAAATATTGGAGCATTATGCCAATTGATTACATCCAAGTCATTAATAGTTCTGTATAGTAATATCACATCACCTCTTGATCTTCTAATTTTTAATGTGGAGAGGAAGGTTTATCAGTGAGTTTTTATATGATAAATCTTTAAAACTATAAACACGAGTTATGTTGGAGTTGTTCAATCATAATAACATGTTACGTATATGTAAATTAATGGGGTTTAATATTCAAGGTGAGGTCTAAACAATGATGTATTATTAATATTATATTTCTTTTATCTAATAATTTCAAGAAGTGTTTCATTTGCTCTAATGTCAAACTTCCAAAGTCATTTTTTCTCTATAATTTCATTTTTAAAACACTTTTAATAAAAGTTATAAAGAATTGCTAATAATGATGCTATTAACCTGATTTTTGTTTTAGTATGTAGCATATATTTTTATATATTTCGTTTTAGTATGTATGCTCCAAACTTTCTGCAACTGTGATAATAAAACTCCATTCCATAGGTTTGATGCCTTTTCTTATTTTGTTATTTTATGTGAAAAACTTTAAATAAAATAATTTTAATTATTAGATTTAATAGTATTGGTAATTTGTTTTTAGAGTTTGTTTGTGACGATTAATGTGCCACCACATAAATGTAGAAAATATTAATAAATCTATGGCAGTAAACGTTATGTTGACACAAAAATGCCAAATCTCAAGTTAAATGGTTTATCTAAATCTGGTAAGTTTACACTTAATCAAATAATTTGTTAATATATCTGTTTTCAGTGTTTAAGTGAAGGAAAAGTTTTTTTCCCTTATTTTTACTATTACTATTGACTAGATTTACTGTGTTTTATAAAATAGTTTCTGTGTATAAAAATATTTATGAAGATTAAGAGGAATTTTTATTTTTATTTTTAAATTTTTTATTCATTTTTTGTTTATTCAAAATAACTTTTACAATGAATTTTAAAATAAAAAAATGAATAAAATACATACAATAAGAGTTACAAATTTTGTTGACTTTACAATAAGAACGCAGATACTCGCAGAAGATCATAAGATCTTGTCATCGAGAACCGCCTAAACAGTTTTTAAATAAAAAAATGTTTAAGATGCTTTAAATTGTAATTATACTGTGGCAACAGTTTAAAGTTATCTATTTATAATAAAATGATAAATTGGGTTTTATATACTTTATTTAAAATCTGCTGTGGATTAAATTAAATATCATGAAATGTCAAATCTCAAGACATTAAATCTTTAATGTAGTTTTGGTCCATAATAATCCAACTACCACATGTTTTAATTAATTTATTTGTAAGTATCCTGTATATGGTTGTATTTGTAAATTTTCATTGTGATAGTTAGTCATTGTATCTTGTAAGTTATTGTAAGTTCACAAAGTTATAAAAAGATCCTTAGCTCAAGTCTAAGTAACTATGGTTTGCTGTTAATGGATTGAACTTTTTCGTCAATAATTAAAATAATTGTTATTGTAACATGATAACCATGTTGTTTACAAGTTGTGACGATTTTGTATAGATGTTGTTACTATATTGTATAAGTATATATGTAATAAATTATTAAGTTGTGCTTATGTTTGTTTTTATTTTATTAAAGGATGCAAACACTAAAGTAGACAATAGCGTTTCAAATTAAAGCAGAAATTTATAACGAATCATGTTGACGATTGGACATGAATCGCAGAAAAGCACCATTGTCGAACGGTTATGAATCAAATCTTTGTATTATAATTGCGTAAATATATTTTAAAATTTAAACCTGTTTTTCAAATTTATTCATAAAAATTAAAATTGTCAATAATCATGTTTAATACATTTTATCGTCATTTAACTAATGAAAAATACGCTTTTTTTAAACCAAAGAATTACAGGCGATCCTGCTAAAAATAACTTTATATAATTAAGAAGACGGGGTCTAAATAGTAAATATAGGGACTTCAAATGGGATTGCCCGATGAAAATCCATAACAATCCCATGCGCGACCCAGTTAGTTAACAAAGACAAAATCACGATGGTACGGTAAAATACGTATGTAAAATATGTATGTAATAATGGCTAATCGTTGTTCTGCCAGTTCTTGTCCCGCACTGGCTAGCCGCTGTTTTGCCATCGCTGGCTAGCCTCGGCTGGTCCATAAAAAATCCTGAGAGCAAAACGGAGCTTCGCCAGCATTGGCAGCTAAAGCCGGTCCAGCGCGGCAGCCTATACAGGACCAGTGCGGGACCACTATATCATTTCTGTCTACCTAAATTTTGCAACACCAATTAAAATCATTGCCAAAAATTTGTAGTTTTCATATAGTTTTGATGTCAGATTTGAATTTAGCGTATCAGAATTATGCATAACCAGGTATCATAGTTAATGCAACTCATTTTTTTGTTGACCACTGTAATTTTATTGAATAATTTAAAATATTATGTAGTTTTATTGTGCAATTTAATAGATGATATAAGAAATAATCTTGATAATAATTTCTAATAAACCTAAAAACAACATCAACATTTTTTGAACTTTGAATGTTTGATCTCACAACGCCATATCCAATTATATAAAGTTTATAAAGGTAAGCTTTAACTATTATTAGAAAGAAAAAAACTTTCTTTCCAATTTCCTTACTAAATTTTTCTAAAATTTTCCAAACTGGAGAAACTATGAAGGGTTATTATGGATCATTACCAAGGATCGTTAATTATCAAGTTTAATTTTCTAACTTTGTATTACAACAATATATATATATATATATATATATATATATATATATATATATATATATATATATATATATATATATATTAAAATTTAAATTGTTAAAAGTTAAAACTGTTCATACATTTTGAAAAATTTGTGACAAATCATTTTGCTTTGCTTCCTTTGACATCTTACACTCATCTTCTTCAAATTTTGTTCCATAAACAATTATGAATAATCCAAAGTTGAATATCAGTAAGCATAAACTATGTTGCATCATTTTTATAAGAAAAATGATAGACGAAGATCTTTTTTTAACTAAACAAAACAAAATGTTAAAATGTATTAGAGTTTGTCAAATACGTAATTTACAATAGATTGGTATCCTACCTCAGTAAAATGTTACCAACTATACTTTTCGACTGAGTAGATGTGCTGGAAAATTGATTAAGAATTTAAAAATGCCATTTTTATTATTTAAAATGGTTTGAAAAATTTCAAAAGAAAACAATCTAAAAATTTACCAGTTAAGTTTGTTTATAAAAGGTCATTGTTCAATACCCCTTTACCATTTTTAGACGTAATCGTTCATTTTAAAAAAAATCATCTACACATTAGTATTTTATGCACGCTCGATTGAACAAATGAGCTCTAATACAGAAGTTAACATCCAATAGTTTCTATTTTTAGAAGAAAAAAAATTTTTTCTTGTTCTAATTTAAAATTAAAACAATGTTTTTGTAATTTTAGTGGCAGCATTTTTTTAAGTTTTCCTGTACAGACACGTTAAAAATAAAGCGGAGAAAAGAAAAGTTTAGAATAACCTAATAAAATATAAATAGCTATTCTCTCCTCATTAATTATAGTTTTTATCTGCGATCTAATAATGTATAAATAAATAATGTATAACATATATATATATATATATATATATATATATATATATATATATATATATATATATATATATATATATATATATATATATGTATATATATATATATCAGGGCCGTACCTAGGAGGGGACAACCGGGGTAAGCTGAAATAAATAAACCGACAAAAAAATTAAATTAATAAAATTGCTGTAATGAAAAGGGTTGCAAACTGTAATAAAGTGAGTAACCCTCTGTTGTCTAGTTCTCCAAAAATCTCAAGAAACATTAAAGAAAAAGTTTAAGCCTAATTCTTCACCGATTTTGATATGATGTAAAACTTGCCTAGAAGAAGCGTTGAACAACGGATTTCTCGCTTCTTAGGCAAGTGCGTTAACAACTGCGCTACGGCTGTTTTCCGAACGGGTCATTAGGTTCTTATCTAACGACCCATCCACTTGACGGGAACAGGCTGGCTGTAAAAGAGAGGAACTGCATCATCAAAATGAATTTAATACCTTTACTGAAGAGCAATAAAGAATATCCTACTTATTGATAACATCTTTATAAACTTCTACTCTTATATATATATATATATATATATATATATATATATATATATATATATATATATATATATATATATATATATATATATATATTTCATATATAATATATATATATATATATTTCATATATAATATATATATATATATTTCAAATATAAATATATATATATATATTTCAAATATAAATATATATATATATATATATATATATATATATATATATATATATATATATATATATATATATATATATATATATATATATATATATATATATATATATATATATATATATATAGATCATCCAACCAACAATAAAGTTAAAATTTTTAGACGATGTTTAAAAAAATTTGACCCTAACAAGTTTATTATTGAAATTTCTAAAATCAGCTGGGAGTTTATGATTGAATTATTATATATATATATATATATATATATATATATATATATATATATATATATATATATATATATATATATATATATATATATATATATATATATATATATATATATATATATATATATATATAATTCAATCATAAGCTCCCAGCTGATTTTAGAAATTTCAATAATAAACTTGTTAGGGTCAAATTTTTTTAAACATCGTCTAAAATGATCTATATATATATATATATATATATATATATATATATATATATATATATATATATATATATATATATATATATATATATATATATATATATATATATATATATATATATATATATATATATATATATATATTTATATTTGAAATATATATATACATATATTATATATGAAATATATATATATATATATATATATATATATATATTTATATATATATATATGTATTTCATGTGGAGTTCCTCAAGGATCCATATTAGGACCTCTCCTATTTTTAATATATATTAATGATCTACCAAAAGCTTCTAACCTAATGACAATTATGTTTGCTGATGATTCTAACCTATTTCTTTCTCATAATAACATTTTTACACTTTTTAGCAATATGAACATTGAACTAGTCAAAATTTCCGAATGGTTTAGATTAAACAAACTATCACTAAATATTGATAAAACTAAATGGATTCTTTTTCATCCTTATGGTAAAAAGCACCAGCTGCCTAGCAACTTACCTTTTCTATTTATCGATAACATAGTTATTAATAGAGTTTTAGTGACAAGATTTTTAGGTGTATATATCGATGAAAATCTTACATGAAAATGCCACATTGCTAACTTGTGCAATAAAATTTCAAAGAGTATAGGCATTTTATACAAAATAAGAAACGTTCTTGATAAAAATACCTTAATTCAATTATATTATTCGTTAATTCATTGCCATATCAACTATGCAAACATTGCTTGGGGTAGCACTTATAAAAGTAAACTTAAACCTCTCTATCGGCAACAGAAGCATGTAGCACGCCTTATAAATTTCAAGGACCGTTTTGCTCACGCCAAGCCTCTTTTATATGATATGAAAGCACTCAATATATATGAGTTAAATGTTTTTAATATTCTTTGTTTTATGTATAAATGCAAGACCAACCTATCACCCGTTTCTTTTCGTGACTTGTATTTACAAAGAGATAGAAATAAATATATTCTAAGGAACGATAACTTAATTCGACAACCATTTTCTCAAACTAATTTTGGAAAATTTTTTATTTCATTTCGCGGACCATTTTTATGGAATAGTATAGTTCTAAATACTTCTAAAGATTTTTCTCAAGAATGTAATTTTGATTCTTTTAAACAAAATCTTAAAAAACTCATTTTTTCAACTGAAAATATACTAATCTACTTTTAAATTTTTGAAAATCACTTGTCTATATTAGTATATGAATATATTTAATGTACATTCTTTTTTATTTATTTATTTTCTTATCAACAAGCAATTATTTAACATATATTATTTTAGTGAATTATTTAACATGTTTTAGTTTTTAAGTTTTAGAACTCTTCTATTGTAATATTGTATGTTTATTTATAATATTATATTACGAACTTTATATACTTTTATTAATAAATTTAATTTTGTAATAAAAAGAAACTGAACAAAAATAAATAAATACAAAGAATGAAAACATTGAAAAAAAATAATAATAATAATAAAAAAAAAAAAAAATAAAAAAAAAATAAAAAAAAAAAAAAAAACGTTCAAAAGCGGTTTCTCTGTGACAAGACCTGATGGTCTTCTTTGAGTATCCGCGTTCTTTATATTTATTAATATTCTTTATATTATTATATTATTCTTAACGATATCTTGACTTGTTACCTTTTCTTTTTTTCTTTTTTATATTATTTGTATCTGTATCATAAATATTGTAATAAAGAACAAAAAAAAAAAAAAAAAAAAAAAAAAAAAATATATATATATATATATATATATATATATATATA